TACACTTCGGTCCTAACTCAAAAACTTGAATTTTCAAACGCGTTTTTCTCAAATTGGGTTAAGATTAGACAAAAAGTGAAGAGACTAAAAGTTGCTTAGAATTTCACCAGAATTAATATGGTGCCTCTTTTCTCCAAAATTCTCAACCAAAATTGTACCCCAAAAATGGGTCAATTTGGCTTTTTTCAATTAATCAAGAATTACGCGGAAACTACTTTGTTAATTGATAAGAAAATTATATCACAGGTAGCCTCTTACGCAGCTCAACAAAGTTTAAGAAGGGTTAAATCTCCAAAAATTTGCGCAAATTGTTTAAAATAAATTTTTAAACAGAGATTCTGGGTTTTATATAGTAAAAAAAAAATTTATTGACTATCAAGTGATTTTTTTTCTCTTATACTGGTTTTTGGAGATTAAACCCTTTTTAAACTTTGTTGAACTGCGTAAGAGGCTTCCTGTGATATAATTTTCTTATCAATTAACAAAGTAGTTCCCGCGTAATTCTTGATTAAATGAAAAAAGCCAAAATGACCCATTTTTGGGGTAAAATTTTTGTTGAGAATTTCGGAGAAAAAATGGCATCATAATAATTCTGGTGAAATTCTAAGCAACTTTTGTACACTTCACTTTTTGTCTAATCTTAACCCAATTTGAGAAAAACGCGTTTGAAAATTCAAGTTTTGTTCGTTTTTTTCCGGATAATTTAAATCAGCTCTGTATAATAAATCTTCAAATAATGGTATAGAGCGATTTGCATGCGTGTCGCTTAGCATACGCAATGAAAATAATTACTCAATTACGAAAAAGTCCAAAAACAGCACCCAATCAGATCAATTTTTTGGTTTTGCCGATAAGCATTTGTATAAACGTAGGACAAAACTTTTCGATATAGGGCTTGCGTATAAGGAAAATTACAGCCGTAATGCCAAAAATTGGGGGAAAATGTCGTACACAACTTATTAAACCGGTTTAGTAATCGAAATTAATGTTTTCGCGTTTACAAGGAAGATGATGTTTGGTAAAACAATGTGCAATGAAGAACATTCAATAGATTCTATAATGACTTTCAGATTTTCCGCTCGAAAACACCCAGCAACTCGGATGTTTCTGTTCGATTAGGATGAAAACTGAATAAATTTGCTCGTTTTGCCTTGACGCTATCCAGAAAGCACCGCCGCATAACAGGTATCAAATTTTTAAAGCTTCGACTAATAAATTTTGGGTACGAAAAACTGCAACACCCAATGAATTGTTCAAATTGAGTAGAAAAAACTTTCACAGGACTCGGTTTTTTCCAGGTGGGTGCAGGTGGAGCCAAAAATGCTGAATAAAGGTCCGGCGGTATTACTGCAGAAACCATTTAGGGCAAGTTTTATGATATTCGGGCGGAAAAAAATCGTCATAACTAAATTGTTTATAACTAAATTGTACAATCTTTTCGGGCCTTTTTACTTATTCAGCCCCAAACTCTCAATTTTGCGATTTGCAATATTCAATATATAAATTCTGAGAGCAATATACTGTTATCACTGGTTAGTTCAATTAATACAAATGCGACCACTTTATTCTTAATCCGACTTCTATCAAGGCCAAACTTTGAGCAGATACGAATGTGGTCATTTTTTCCCTGGAGCTGTTTCTGTATTTTTTTTTCTTATCTGGGTAACACTCTGGAGCGAATTTGAAATAATTTTGAGTAGTTCCAAACATTCTTCATTACAAGCCAACTATAATTCATTTTCGGCTCATTAATACTTCGATTTAAAATTGTGAAAACATTTTGAGATGATAGTGAAATTTGATTGGCTTATTCTAGCCAATCAGATTGAAGCAAAATAGTTTCAGTTCAAGATGGTGAAATATTGATTTTTGGGCGGAATAGGTAAAAAGACCCATCTTTTGAACTCTTGACTGGTTTTTTCGTAATTGGGTGAATATTTGTCGAAAATTTTTGTCCGCTGGGTCATGATTTATGTGCTTTACTGTAACCAGTTAGTCTGTTTTTTTTTCATTATCAAATGCAAAACCGCATTTGCAGCTTTTCGAAGCTTGCCTGGATATGTAATCGTCTATTACTAAATATGTTCCCCTCGTGTCTTTGAAGGAAGAATTTGAAACCTCTTTGAATTAATTAACTTAGTTTTTATAAAATTACTTTAATTTTATTAATTTGGCTTTGATTTGTTTGCTGTGATCTGATTGGTTGAAAACTTTGAGTTTGTCCTAAGAGTTTGAATTGTATTTATGCTAATAGCAGCTGCATGCTAGGCGACACGCATGCAAGTAGATCGGTCCCCCGCAAATAACCAATGCTCAACATTCCACTTTCAAACCTAACTTTTCTTATGTATATAGATCTTAACGGTACGTTTTCTCTCAGATATTGGCTTTAAGGCCACAAAGACATGAAAAATGGCGATTTAGACTTCCTTATTGATTTTGTGGATTTTTTTCGGCTGTTAAATCAAGAATTGAATTAAATTGTTGCAAGCCCGCATTGAATTGGAATATATACTTGTTTTTGAAATTCCAAGAATCGCAAAACCCTGCTAAAGACTAACCATTAACCCGCAATTTCACTTTTCTTTCGGCCTACTGAATTTATTGGTGGCGTGGTAAAATCAGATATGCCTATCGAAATGCGATAATTGCTGATTAGATGTTCGTTCGAACGAAAACTAACTTAGCTTAAATTTTATTTTATTTGTTAGAATTATAGATTACTATTCGAATTTTCGAGCGCTTAAAGATTTTAAAACTAAGCTTCGGCGAAATGCACGCTATTCAAATTTGCAAACTTCGGTATGCAAAACCTGAATTAGCAAGCGAATCAACTGCACTCTTTTCTGTGGGCTTGCCAATACACACATGCTATTAGGTCAGTCGCCTAATTAATTGTGTGCGTGCAAAAAAGTTTGTAGTCCGAATTGCGTTTTTAAAATCAGTTTAGGACCAAGTGAAGTATTTCCCTCATAAGTAAAAAAAAAAGTCTGTGTAAAATTACGTTATTGTTAGCCAAATTTTGATTTTCTTTTAACTCTTTCTGTTTGTAACTCGTATTTTCTTTAACCTCAACCCAACCGTACAAAGCAGTCCACGGGATCAAAATGGATTTTCGAAAAATCAGCAAACAGCCAACGATCAAGATTTTCTCCTGGAAAAAAAATCAACGATCAAAATAAGTTTCTTCAATTCGTTCATTTACATTTAACCAAAACATAAAAGAGCAGAACCTGAAAAATATAAGTAGACAGCGAACGAAGAGCGGCGCGATTCTCTATAAGCATGGATGGATGCCAGCCACCAGCTTACTCAAACCCAGAAAAACTCTATGTTGAATTCAGATGGCAAGAAGAATTTGAGGCTCCTAGCACTCAATTACATAAGGTACATAAGGATCGTGCTGATTCGTGCTTTATTTCATCTGTTTCACCTAGTTTTAAATAACTATTCAGTTTTAAATAACTATTCGCCGAGATACATTGTAAAATTGTGACGTTAAATTAGACGACAACCAAATTATACACACCAATTCCAAAGAAAACAAGTGCATTTATGAAATTTTTATCGTACCAATTGACGTTCGTCAGGCATAAAATTTTCACCGAAATATTGGGTCAATTTGCAGTTATATATAACCATTTTTGCAAACTCTGAGGTGGTTTTTCGCTTGCTTTATATCCAGAGAATTGCTGGTTTTAGACCGGTCGATTGCTAATTTGAGATCTACTTGGCGTTGTTCGTATACTTGTTGTTATAATTTTGATGGCCTTAAAACTCTTTGAATTACTAGAACAATTTAAGGTTGATACTTCTTTGAGAAAACTAACCCAACTTGGGAAAACTGGATTAATAGGTAAAATTTTTGTTCCACAGGCTGAGAAATCTGATAATGAAATTCCATTTTCGAAATTGGAAGTCGACCACGTTTTTCGTGACCTTTAACCTTTCGCTGTTTGACAGTGGAGTTTACCTTCCTTTTAACAAAGGAAACGAGTTGAACTTGAAAAAAATCAAAAGTCAAACCGCGAAAAAGTAAATTTGAGCCTGAACAAATCTGAAGACTTTTCCTGAAAAAAAAAAACGAAAAAACGTGACCTTTACTTTTGCTGTTCGAACGTGGAGTTTTTCTTCCTTTCAACTAAGAAAATGGAGTGAATTTAAGTCATACAGCAAAAAATAAAAGTTTCTGAAAAAAATCATCGCAAACTATTAAATAGAAAATAACTTTGTTCTTTTAAACTTTATCATACAGGCAACAAAACTTAAAAATTTGCATGTAGGTGAAGATGTACTTCGCAAACAACAGCGAGAAAACGACAAAAAGCAGCTGTAAAAAGTGAAATGAAAAGCAAAGAAACAACTATTGAATTTAAAATTTTTTTGCTATATGACGGATCCGAACCTCCGTCCTCGGAATTAAACGCATCCTAACACTAGCCAGCAAAAAAGCAGCTACAGATGCTTATAAATATTGCTAGTGCAATGCAGCAAAAATGCTACCAAAATCAATTTAGAAAAAAACTAGTGCCAAGTGCGGCATTGAACTTCCGATTGGGAGTCTCACGACCTTCCCTCTGTGACACGGTACCTTGGCGAACGGCAAAAACTAGCCACCGATACACAGAGGACAGAAATTTCCAATGTGACAAAAAAAACGAAAAAAAGATGATTGAAAATTTTCGAAGAAAAAACTTTCAGGTTAAAGCTCTTTAAACTTACAGAAATCTTAATGATAAACACTCTGAAAGTTATCCCATTCTGAAAATTATCCCAATTAAAAAAATGAATCAATAGGAGATTTTCTTCTTTAGCTGGAAATTCAAAAATTGAGGTCCCTCTTTGAAAAAGGAAGCCGTTGACGTTTTTCACTTCGTTCTTTTACACTTATTAAAACAATTGTTAATATTTAAGGGAATACAGTTGCTGGAAAACGACGTATTTAAGCGGTTTAAAATTAAAACTACTACTTCACAATAAACACTTGTTAAATTACTCACTCTGACGTAGAACTGATCTTTGGTAATATTTTGAAAATTCGCCTCATTTGACGCCGATTGAAGTTGCTGAGTCTGCTTGTACAGTTTTGTTTCTGCTTTAACTCTCAGTTTGACCTCGTACTCTCGGTTCGTCTTAAGAAGAATGAATAGTTCCTCAAGCGTTGCATGCAAAACACTTAGGTCATTCACCTACAGGAAAACATTATGGCATTATATAACAGCAATTGTTTCTATCGAAGGCAAGGCATTAAACAGTTATTTCCGACAAAAATCTTTAAATTTTTTATTTCCAAGACAAAACAGCCAACAGACAGTAATAAAACTGTTACTAATTTTATGGAACAAACAAAACTAAAATTTTTTGAACATAGCCAACTGAAAGAAGGGAAATTATGAATGAACACACGAAAACGGAAAAAAACGACAGAAAATTTCGAAACATTTTCAAGCAAAAAGAATATCAAAACACTTTAGTTCCAGAATATTTCTTATTGAATTTTTTGATAAAACTAACCCAATTTGAGATAATTGGATCAATGAAATTATCTATAAATCCGATGTCAATTAAAAATATCAAATTTCTTGAAACTAGAAGCTACATTTATGCTCCGCGATATTTGTACTATTTTATTGGGGAACCTAATTTTCTTTCACTTGGCAGACGAATTAGAATTGAACTCAAAAAAATCATTAATCAAATTTTAGCGTGAACAATGTGACCAAAATAAAGGTAAAATTTCGAAATTCAAAGTACTAAGAAAATTTACAACTGGCAGACTGGAGAAAAAAACGCGAACCTTGTAGTTGTAAAACATTATTACCGTAAGATATAAATTACCTCTAAAATGAGATCTCCGACGTGCAATAAATGCGAGCATGAAGGCATCACACTGCACACGAATAGTCCATGTACATTTCCGCCACAGAAGCGAAACCCGAAACCCCGCGATAGATCATTCCTCGAGAGAGTAACTACTCTTTCCTGTTCAGTATTGCTGACAGTATCTTCTCTGAGCGGATTTGAAGGAGACTGCATAGCACATTCGCCAGTAGAACGCGAATCATACCTAATCAGGTTTTTAGATTGATATCGAATTTAACCTTTTTTCTATATTCAGAGCGGGGAATCAATTCTGATTAATATTAGAGAAGTAAGAGATTTCATATTAATTCTGACACATACTCCGTCTGAATAGCTGAAGATGAAAAAACTAAGACCATAGCCATGAACAGTTGACACAAAGTCAACTAACTCAGGAAACCAATAACTAATTTTTTCTTTCTAATTTTGCTGCTGAAATTGAGAAAATTTGAGAAGACTGAATCAATAGTTATTTAACAAATAGTCTAGCTTTGTTAAAAAGTGTTTTAGACGATCGCCAATAAAAGTTTGCGCGGCAGGCGATTATCAAACATAGCCAACTAACAGTTGGAAAAGAGTAATGAACGCAAGGAAACTGAAAAAAAACTGACTTGTTTTTTCAAGAGCCTTCAACTTTTGAACTTTAAGAAAATAGATGGCCTTGAAGCTCTTTGTAGGAAAATTTATGATAAACACTTTTTTGTTAAAATTAACGTAATTTAAGAAAACTGGATCAATACGTATAACTTTTATTTCACTGGGAAGTCTGATATTTTTCATTTTCGAAGTCAGAAGTCGATCACGTTTATCGTGACCTTTACACTTTTGATGTTCGATAGTGGAGTTTGCCTTCCTTTTAACATTAGAAATGCACTGAATCTTATAAGAAATCAGAAGTCATATCGCGAAAAATCGGATTAAATGTTCCTTTGTTACAGCTAATTCTACTTAGTTACAGATAAAATGTGTTTAAAAAGTGAATTAATCTCAAAGTTAAAACATTTAAAAGTGAGAGAGCATTCTCTCCACCGGAGAGAATGAACATAACAAGGTCAAATCTAAACTAACCGGTTAAAGTAATTTAAGATTAAATGAAATAAGAAAGAATGGTATGATTCGCAACATTCCCCTTAGTGGGAAAAAAATTAAACTACCATACGCTACAATACGTAACAGGATAACTGACCCTTTTCTCCCCCTAAAGGAGTCCACCGAGTAATTGAAAAATTAAGTACTGCCCAATACAACAGTAAAATTTAATGCTCCGAAGGAGTGACTGATTAGAAAGTGGAATAGCACAATTCATGATTCCGGCGGATTATAATCAATGACTACAAAAAGTAGATAGATTCTAACTGCACTGTAATGAATTACTAATAAAAAGTATTAAAGTCTAAATGCGAGTTTTTGTTTTAGTTTAACTGTCCCCTTCCATAAATTTCTCTAACTCCGCGTTGAAAATTTCACTATCCAAATATATGTAGTTGTCAAAACTATTCACAGCGTCTCTCAGGGATTCATCAGTGGAGATAAGAGAGATTTGTTCTGAGGATGAGGAGATCACTGAGCCCGATGTACATTCTTCCGATTGGATGTCAAAAATAGGAGTTTGGATATCCGAGGGATTCTTTGTATTGATTTGTGTGAAGGAGCCCGAACTGTCGTTTTCGTCCAGAGGTATTGGGTTTTTCGCGGAGCCTGGTTGATTTTCGTTCTCATCTATAATATCTATGTACAACCTTTTAGCATAGAATTGGGGAGGTCCAACATTTCGACTCGAACGTCTTAATTTAAAATCATTACCAGTGATAATGGTCTCCTTTGGATGCCTTTCCTCAAGTAATCGCGTTTTCATCAGAGGAGTCTTCTATTTCGAAAGTTGGAAATTCGACAGGATTTTCTCCCTCCGATTCCTTCGTTGTATTCAACGGAGCGTTTGGGCCCTCCGATGTCGCTGTAGTAGAAGGTTTGCTAGGTGAGTGTGAAGTAGTTTGGGCTGCTGGTTTTATACTGATTGGACTTTTCGCTGAGTCCATCGATTGAGGTTATTCGTCTAAAATCTCAGATTTTATATTAGTTTGATATGTTTGAGGATCTAATGATGAGATAGATTCTTCGTTAAAAATGGGGTTATCCGAAATGAGACGTTCTCTTATCACTTCCCTGCATGGAAAACCACCCGCGATCCATTCCCAATCACTAATGTCAGATGTATCCGACGGAATGAACATGGATTCGTCACCTGCAAAATATCCAGTGTTAGAAGTCGAGGCTTTATTTCGGGTTCGTTTTGGCTTGTTGGATTTAGTTGGTTGATTTATCCCTCTAGATCTTGTGTTGACAGGAGTAGGCAGCTCTATTTGTCGTCTCGTTTTAGGGCCTAGTTTCCGCGTCTGTTGGGGCTTTGTTTTGTTAGTCTTTCTTGGACCTACTTGTAAATCAGTGTTAATAAAAGAAGGGAAAGAAATATTTCCTCTGAATGAACGGATTGTAGAAGATTTAGACTTTGGGATGGCGATGTCCGATTTTCTAATGATTTTTCCGTCGGATAGTTCAACCGTAGATTTTGTTGAGTTTATTATTTTCTGACCCAGTTGTTTATAAAAAGAATTTCCGTTTATATTTCCATTGGTCTTTCGGAGTAAGTAAGCTTTAAACGGGCTGTTTAGAGACACTCGGGAAGATGAAGGTTTTGAAGATGTAGGGTGGACTGAATCGTAACCTTTCTCAAGTGGTGACTGGTTCTTCTTTGGTACTAGACAGTCTTTGTACCCGTCTTCTATCCGATCGTCAGCGTTCCAGTCGAGGGCCCTTTCTTTGCTTAAGATCGACTTCCCTTTGTCTAAAAATCCACCGGATAATTTACTAGATGCCAATTGTTTCCAGATCGTGCTCGGTTTTCTATTAAAATGTATTTCGAACGGTGAACATTTGATTTTTGATTGAAAGGAAGATCGTAAGTTCCAAATGATTTTCGAGATAGCGAATTGTAATGTAGGTTTTTGTTGTTCTAGTGACATTGCTAATATTTTAATTTTTACAGTATGAACAAGTTTTTCTACAAGGCCGTTAGAACGATGGTCCCCAACTGTACAAAATATTAATTTGATATTAAAAGAATTACAAAATAATTAAAAATCCCGACTAGTTAAACAGGATGCGTGGTCGACACAAATAGAGTTAGGAATCCCATGGAGGAAATAATAATCTTGAAGGAATTCGATTATCGTGTTTGATGACGTTGAGGATGTAATTTTAGCTGATGGAAATTTTGAGAAACGGTTTATACATAATAAAATGTATTTATTCTTTCCCTAGGTATTATCTAATGGGTCGGCGAAATCGAGGTTAAGTTCCTCGTTAGGTTCAGATAAAGCGGGAAGTTCGCTAGTTTGTGTGGTAGGTATAATGCTTTTTATATTCTTACCAGTTTGAGTACAGTTAATCCCATGGAAGTAGATCTGCCGGTTTATGTGAGGCCACCAAATATATTGTGCTAAGTATTTCATACCGAATTGGCCAGGGTGGGATTCGTGTAAAGTTTTTAAAACGGCGTTTCGAAGTGTAAAAGGAATAACCAATTTTCCATCCATATATAATAATCCATCGGATTCGTGAAGGTCTTTCGAAAATTGGTACAGGTAACGGGAATTTGCATTGATGCTTTTTACTTTGTTCTGGAGAGCTTTCACGATTGGGTTTAGCATTTCGTCGTCTTCTGTTAGTAATGCGACCAACTTTGCGTTAAATAACGTGTTTAGATCCAAAGGTCTTTCGGGTAACTTGAGATTTTCTCGATATTTTTTTACTAATTTTTTGTGTTCAGAAGAAATTTGGAAATCGATTGAGACCTGTACTCCGGAGGTGGAAGGATTAACTACAATTTGTTTATTAGACATATTTACACTATTTATAAGTTTAAAATCCGAAGGATTACTAATTAAACTACTATTAAGACTTAAGAAATAAATAAAGGCTGAACTTGATAAAAAGATTTTAGTAGGATCAGTGTTTGAAAAGTCCGAGGGAATGCATTTAGAGTTACAGAGTTCTGTTCTATAATGCTTTTGATTGCAAATTGGAATAGAAGAATTAATGAAATTCAACGCTGTAATTATTACGTGATTGCGTTATCTCGTGTAATTGGAATTTTCCGATATTGAACTAATTGCATTACATAATGGATTGTCGTTATCCAACGGATTGAGTGCGTTATATATTTTTTTGGTAGTTGCAACTACGAATTCTTCATCGTGATGGGGGGATTGCCTTTCCCGAAGGAGATCTTGAAATTAGGTCAGTAAAACCCATGTCTTTTCGTGCTAAATGCTTTATAGTAAAATTAAATGGTAAAAGACGATCTACCCATCTTGTCAATCGACTATGATACGTTTTGTTTCCGTGATTAGGTGACAAAGCGGAAAGGAGAGCTTTGTGGTCGGCAATAATTTCAAATTCTGAGCCGTAGAGACAATTTTTGTAATGTTCCACCGCCAATACAACTCCTAATAACTCTAATTCGTTTGTTGAATATTTGGATTCGTGGGGATTTAAAAATCTTGAAGCAAACGATACTGTTTTCCAGTCGCTCCCGTGCAGTTGTTCGAGGGATGCACCTAACCCGTTATGTGAAGCGTCGGTTTTTACTCTCGTGGATCTTTTAACGTCGAAGTGAGTGTTTTCTGTAAGATTGACTATTTCTAGTTTTATCTTATCGAACGCTTTTGTATGAACTTCATTCCAAAGGAAAATTGACTTCTTGTTTAAAAGAGGTCTTAACGGGCTTCCGAGGGATGCTAGATTGGGTACGAATTTGATGTACTGATTAGTTGACCCGAAGAATGATCTTAATTCCTTTAGATTTTTTGGAATTGGGATGTCTTTAATCGCTTTGGTTTTATCGATTAGTGGAGCGATTCCAGATTTCGATATTTTAAAACCGAGCCATTCGATTTCTTTTGGAAAAACTTGCATTTCGACCATTTAACTGCAAAATTGCAACTGTCTAACGTTGATAAAATTTTATAAACAATTTTCTTGTGGTCAATAAAACTTCCTGTGGAAGCGACTAAAATGTCGTCTAGGTAACAATTGGTAAAAGGAATATTTCCCAGTGTTGAGTCCATGACTCTTTGAAATTCATTGGGCATAGCCGAGTCCATAAAAAGCAGTTAAGAATTGATATGCGCCCGTTATATATCCGCCTACCAGGCTAAAATTGCATTGACTGCTAGTAAAATTGTCTAACGACAGTTGACTATATGCATTCTTAGATCTAGATTGGTGAACCACACTTTTCCGGTGGAATTGTTGGAAATTTGAGCCGCTACATTATCCACTAATTCATGTATGTTGGGCATCTGGTATTTGTTCTTGTAAATTTGTTTGTTGATAAATTTTGAATCTAGGGCTAACTTTATCGATTTGTCCTTTTTACAAGTGATAAATATCGGACTAATAAATCTGTCCTTGTCGCAATTTTCTAATTTTTTGATATGTCCTTTGGATTTCAGTCTGATCAATTCTGTTTTTACTGAATCCAGTAAATGTAATGGGACTCGCCTGCCCTTTAGTTGAATTGGCTTTAGTGGTCCGTGAAAGTGTGTTATTTTTGTTTGATTTTTTATTTTTCCAATCCGAAGGAATAGTTGTTTGAAAGTCTTGGAAATCATATCTATTTCATTCTCTTTGTCAAGTAATGTAATTGAATTGATAGACTTACAGTTTTCTTGTTGATGCGTAGCGGGTAATGTTTCTGTGAAACTTCGATTCCCACTTTTGGCAAATTGTCGTTTCCCAAGATGATTCTTTCATGTCCTTTCGTTAGGAAGAAGTGGCATTCCTTATGAGACCATCCGTTTGAGAAAATGGGAAAGATTACTTTTCCAGTGATATTTATTGCATTGTTCGTAAATCCGCAATAAAGTTCTTTAGTCGCTTGGTCCACTGGATATATCTTCACATAAGGGTCTCGTAACTTCAACTCGTGTAGGACGTTTTGTTTAAGGAAACTCACGGGGCTAGCTGAATCCACCAGTATATTGAGAATTACTTAGTTTTCGTTTCCTAGGCCGATGTTTAATAGTTTCTTCAATTCCTTTCCTTGATCGTCGTAGATAGTTGTTAATTTTAATACAGAGTAATCATCGTTATCGCTCTGTCCGGACTCCGACCATGCGTTAATTACTCCACACCATTCTCTATTAGCGTGGTCGTTATTTACATCCGATTGTTCCGAAGGATAATTACAATCTGTATTATTTACAATTTGACTATCCACAATATTTACATTTTTACGGCGTGATTTACAGAGTCTAGTAAAATGTCCTCGATATTTACAAGTCGTATCTTTTGCGGGGCAAACTGCCAGATGTCCTTTGATGAAATTTCCGCCGCATTTTATACACGTGTTGTTCCTTTCGATATTTAGGGTGGGTTCTCTTTTTACATTAAAATGATTAAAAGATTCATTGGAAGGGTATCCGCGTTGGATTTAAAAGTACTCGTCCTTTTAATGTGGTTTGTTATTCCTTTTTCATCGATCAAGGCCACATTTAAAGCTTCTAGTGGGGGTAGAGTTTCCGTAAGAAGTTTCCGTTGGATGTCCGAGTTCTTCATATTATTGATAAAAATATCTCGAATCCACTCGTCTTCTCCTGTGGGAATGTCACATCTTTTTGCCATTACTGCGAGTGCCCCCCAGAATTGTTCTAGCGATTCTCTGTCTCTGTTTTCTTTTCAACAGCTTGTGTCTTTCGAAGGTTATGTTTGTCTTTCTCACAAAGGCTAAGGACAAATTTTCCCATAATTCTTTGAAAGAAATTTGCAGAACTTTAACTCTCGTGAACTTTTGGCCGAATTTTTTCTTTCCTTCTTTTCCGAGGGCCAAATAAAGTATGGACCTGAATTTTTTGTCCGCCTCTTCTAGTCTCATGCCGTTGAATTTCTTAGTTTCTGACTTTATTGAGGCCATTTCTTCATCGTCGTACCTCTTTTGCTCACGGATGTTCCTCTCAAAGCGAGATGTTTTTTGAGAATCAGATTCGTTTTCTGGTGGATTTTCTAGTGTTGGAGGGAGTGCGTGATATCGTTCCGTTGGATTTTCGATATCGATGTTTTCCTTTGCGATTATTGCTAGTTGAAATAAGTCGCTCTACTCTTCCCAAGGAATTGGTGGGTCCACCATGTGGTTTTGCCAGAATGAAGGTATACCTCTCACGTTTGATTCGTTACTGTTTGACTGCGCCATGATAAAATGTTCCTTTGTTACAGCTAATTCTACTTAGTTACAGATAAAATGTGTTTAAAAAGTGAATTAATCTCAAAGTTAAAACATTTAAAAGTGAGAGAGCATTCTCTCCGCCGGAGAGAATGAACATAACAATGTCAAATCTAAACTAACCGGTTAAAGTAATTTAAGATTAATTAAATAAAATAAGAAAGAATGGTATGATTCGCAACAAAATCAAAACTGAGCATGAACAAATTTTAAGGTTTTTTCCTGAAAAGAAAACAAAAAAATCAGCAAGACCTATATAAAAGTACTCACTACGTTCACACTCTCAAAATGACGGATCCGAACAATATTTTCGGGCACTTTTGAAAGATTTTTCCGTTTTTGGTTACAATCTTTCAAAATAATGGTGTTTAAAATAGTACCAGAAACCCTTTGGATGGCAAGGGGGTCCAATCCCTGTATGGTGAGGTGCGCTGGGAAGCTTAACATCCGTTTTTGAATCTAAAAAACATAGCCAACAGACAATTGGAAAGTCAATGAACAAAAGTTCAGAAAAAATTGACTTCCTTTTTTTGAAAACCTCTCAATTTTCGAAGAAAAAACGTACGACTTCAAAGCTCTTTGAATTTGTAGAAAATTTATGACTGGCACTTTTCTGATAAAATTAAGCCAATTGGAAAAAAGGACCAATAATAAAGATTTTTATCTAGCTGGGAAAACTGAATTCCACTTTCAAAACTAGAAGTCCATTTTTTCTTGAACTTGACACTTTTGCTGTTCGATAGTAACAAAGGAAATGAACTGAACTTAAAAATAAATCAAAAATCACCCGCGAAAAAGTAAAATTTGCGCCTGATCAAATTCTTAAGCTTTCGTGAAAAAAATACCGAAAAAAAATCATCACGACTCATATAAGAGTCTGAACGACGTTCATCGACTCTTGATTAATCACGCCTTTTCGCGTCATTGGCATTTTTTTTCTTATTGGAGAGCATAATTCAAAATTTATACAGCCAAAGCATAAAAATGAGCCTGAACTTTTTTCGCTAAGAAAAAAAACAAGAATAGCCGGTTGCTGTGCAAGTAGTGCAGAATGTTCCGACCACATTGATAAAACAAGAAAAATAATTTTTCTACAATTATGTGTCGTCTTTTCCCCAAATTAGTGCGATCAGAGAACTAAACAAGCACGTAGAAAATTATCGAATTCGGTATAATCGGCATTTATCATCAAAAAACAATAACAAACAAAAAATATATTAAAAAAGATCAAAAAAAATACAATTTTTTTTGCACAAAAATTTATATTTTTTGAATAGATTTATTGGCAAGGAAGCGCTAAACGAAGCTTCTGAAACTAGTTTTCTTAGCCTAAAAACCAATTTTCATATAACTAACGATCCTCAATTGCTTTATTCGCTCAAAATTAGCCGGTCGGTTGCTCAAAGAGACAAGAAATCAAAATTTCAAACTAATTTTTCTCGACACTAGGACAAATTTTTTATTTCGCTCGAATTACGACTGAAAGGGCTTTCATAAGATATATCACTTGACCCATTCCGATGATTATTGCCCGATTTTGGGTGTAAAAACAAAAAAACTAAAACACTCGAATACAAAGTTCCTTCCACATTTTCTACGATCGGAACAAAAACAACAGACGACGAAGCTATGTGAAAATTCACATAACTCATAAGCAATTAAATACTGTGTTCCTCATTGCTAAAGTAATATAGGTCAGTGTATCAATACAGAATATTTGGAAGCAAATTAGTATGAAGGTTATTTAATAGACAACAAGCTCATTCTGTCAACATGTCAAAGTTAGCATTATGTACCTTTTCGATGGAATTGCGTCAAGGCCTTAAACCAAACAATGCTATTCATGTTCTGAACCTAGAAAGGGTACTTTTTAATAGGCTTCACACGTAAACGCAACACCCAGAGAGACGGAATTTTCCTGATGACCGCATACGAAGGCTAGCCTAACATGTTACGCGTGCGCCTGAATATGAGTAGCAGGACAAAACATACTGTTATTTCAGTATTCCATTTAGCATATTTTTCAAAGACATGAGTGTCTTTTATGTCTATGATGTTTAGAAAACTATCCAAATTAACAAACTTAGTTCTCCGTTTTCAAGTATTCAAACAAAAATGATTACAAAATTTGTATATTTTAACATAGTCATGCTCACTACTTCTAAAATGAGTTAAATATCTGGCGATTTTTATCAACATCATAATTAAATCTTTCTAGTCGACGGCCAATAATTCAGGAAGGAACTGGAAACCGAATGAGAACATTCACCGCTTGAGGTGGAGGACCCATAAGTGCAAAAAGCCAACAGCGATAAACCGAGAAGACGATCTTTCTCTTTTTGAAATTTTTCCCAAAGGGATGCGTAATAAATTATGTACGCGCCCACCTGTTACTTCGGGACTGAGCGGACAGCAATGCAAGGATACCTTGCCAAAATTGCTGTGCCTGAAATTCATCAAAAGACATTACGGACCATCGACTTAAGGCCAACTCACGATTCCGCGTTCCTACTTCAAGTTTGCAGCTGATGAAGTTTAGCTTCACATTTTTGGCGATAGCTCACTAGACGTATTTTTTTCAGTGGCATTCCTCTGTAATCGGTCAAACTCCATTTCAAACTTCCACTTGTTTTTAGCAAAATAAGAGAGGCGCAAAGGAAGGTGCTGTCAATACCAAAGTAGGAACTGCAAGTTTTACTTCTGGCAACTCGGCCTTAACGACGATATTGAGAAAGCTCTAACCCTGAGTATTTGTAGTGTTAAAGCCGAGCGTTGATTCAGTGGTTGAATTCAACCAGCAAACAACCCAGTTTTGCTGTCAACCGAGTAGCTGATATCCTTGAGTCGACATCGGTTCGATGGTTTCATGTTGTGATTGGAGACAACCCTGCCGATACAGAAACTCGTGGTATTGCCGCTTACTCTCTGAAATGAAGCAGCTGGGTCACCGGTCCATTGTTCCTGAAGACCCCTAATTGACCTTTCAATCCAAATAGGGCGGTTATCGATAGAACCCGACTAGGTCCAGTCTATGATCTGAATGGTGGTCTGAGCGGTCCGCACAATTTAATGCAGTATCGATAAAACACGTGGTCGCAAACATGGCTTTTACCTGGTCCTCGTCGTTTCAGAAAATCGCATAAATGCATAACCGATCTTGCGGAAATTCATATCGTCGAAGAAAAACTTCTGCTTCATTCAAGTTAGACTCGTTTCCAGCCGAGTGTGAGCTACTGGCCTCAGAAAACATTTTAAGAAGTCGTATATATTCATAGTCTTTTTGCGTGGGACCTAATGGATCGGTAAGTTCTACTGGTCGCACTTACCGTCTTTCTGTAACCGAATTATTGGATAGCTAGTACCGGCTGCTCCGCTTTTTTCTCCGCTTCTATCTAAAAGATGATAAGCAATTCATTAACTAACTCCGCTCCATCATGTACCGTAGGTTTGTTTTGTACGATGATGTCTGACCTTCCCGTAGAGCGATTAGGTTACCGTCACCCACCGTTCTCGAACTGCGGAGTCGACTATTCAACACCTTTATGTTGCCATTGGTCAATTAACCAAAAAAAACGGCTGGGGTTTCCACGTCATTCTCTTTGATTTCGTTTTTATCCGTTGACCCAAGTTCGTGAAGGATGGCTATCGAGCGCTCTATCTCTAGGCGAGGAACGCCCTCTGTGATGTGGTCAGACAATGGAACTAAACTTGTAAGAGCTGAAAAAGGGCTTCTTTGCATCAAAAGTTGCAAAGCAGCTCCACCCTCAATGCTCGTTCACAAAGATATCAAGTTGAAGTACAATCCATCCAATGCGCCTCATCACAGTGCAACATGAAATGAATGGTTTGCCGTTGTAAGCGCGTAATTTGGTATGGTATGGTTTAGAATAAGATGGTATAGTGTAAAATGGAACATTTTGTAGTACGGCATAAGGCAGATTGGAACATATTGTAGTATAGTATTAGGTGTACTGGCATAAAATAGAATGTAATCGGTTAAAATCTCACAGAATTTAAAGTATGGGTGTAATAGCGTAGAGTAGAATGTAATGGGGTAAAAAAACCTCAAATAGTGGGAATGCTGAGCTCTATTAGGTCGATAATTGTCCGGAATAAACGCAAGCAGTGTGGAACGTATGTTTATTGGCTCAACATGATATTCCGATGGGTACAAATTTAAGACCTGAGCCTCCAACTGATAAAACTTGACAGTTGATCGATTCTACCTTCATAAAAAAACAAAGCAGCTTTGTTATGCGGGCTGGGGTTTTCTTGAGCGAAACTTTTTACAATTAAATATCAAAAACCAATACCACCTTTCGATTTTACAGGCAAAAACTACGTTTCCGTAATTTTTGTTCCTCATCTGAACTCGTTGATTCTTGATTGCAAACTATCTTTCGAGCAAGATAACTTGCAACAACTTGGTCTGGAATCCCGCTAATAAAGTACTAATAATAAAAATAATGACATACCGTCGAATAAAACCGTGTCGCCTCCAGCTTCTACGCTCAAAGACTGTGCTCGCCTAACAGCACCTCTAGTAGCCGGTACCGTTTTGGTTTTCGCAGTTGCAGCTTGAGATCCTATTCGCAAATCACAATTATCCAACTCCAGAGGGGAGGGTGATTTACAGCCATAGTTGACAGAGAGACTTCGTCTTGAATGAGAGGGCGATCGTTCACAGCTGAGGTCAGGCGACCGACACTTTCTGCAACAATACTTGATATTATTCCATATAGACTTATTGATAGCCCTTTAATTCAATAAACATGAGAAGTTAAAGCCATCTATTACACAGAGGCGAAGTTGCACTTCGCATACACAAGCAAAAACATTCAGTTTTTCCCAGTATCGTTATCGATCGAGTAAAATTTTTGAGTCTATAAAATTTCGTAAGTGACGCAAGCCAATTACGACGCATTAGCAGTACCAGTCAATATGAAAAAGACAATTTATCAATTGCATATGCCTCAATTTGTATTTGTAATACAAAACTGCTCGTATCAGGGCAATTCCCTCTACGTTCTGACTGCTTTTTAAGGTATATGGAACAGTAAAAACAGGAAAAAATTAGATGTAACAAAGAAAAGAAGTTTTTAAATTTGAGAATTTTTGTGATATCAACCCCCCACACGCCATATAAAGTACGAAGTGACAAATTTCGCTCTTATTAAGAAATCAATTATGGCGAATATCTTCCTTGAACCAATTTGGAACAATTTCTAAGACGGACTAAATCTCCGCTTACGCGTTAATAGCGCTAAATATATCGCGCATTAATTTTCCCAAATTGACCAAAATGGCAATTTTCAAACCCATATAACTTTACTACGAGAAAAGATCACAGATGAAATATTTTTTCAAATTTAAGCTTGAGGACAACAATACCTTTTGAATAATAAAAAATTCGTCAAAAATGGCTAGTTAAAAAGTCGAAATTTGTCTGAAAAAAAAACTATCCCGAGCACAAATATTCCGTTACTTTCGTTACGAAAGTCGGAACAAGACTGCTCGTATCAGGACGAAGCCCTGAATGTTCCGACTGCCTTTTAAGGTCAAATGAGCAGTAATAACATGAAGAAATTAATTGTAACAAAAAAACGATTTTTTTTATTTGAGATTTTTTTGTGAAAACATCACCCCCACACGCCATATTAAAAACAAAGTGACAGATTTTGCTCCTATTAACAAATCAATTATGGTATATAATCTTCCTTGATCCAAATTGGAACGATTTTTTAGACGGTTTAAATCTTGCTTACGCGTTAATAGCGCGAAATATATCGCGCGTTAATTGTCACAAATTGGCCAAAATGGCAATCTGTAAACCCCCATAACTTTACGAAAAATGATCACAGGTGAAATATCTTTTCAAATTTGAGCTCAGGACAACAATAACTTTCGAATGATATAAAACAATTCTGTCAAAAATGGCTAGTTAAAAAGTCGAAATTTGTCTGAAGAAAAAAAAACCACCCGAGCACAAATGTTCCGTTACTTTCTTTAGGAAAGTCGGAACAAGAATGGTCGTATCAGGGCGAAGCCTGAATGTTCCAACTGCCTTTTAAGGTCAATGGAGCAGTAATAACATGAAAAAATTATTTGTAACAAAGAGCGAATTTTTTTTATTTGAGATTTTTTGTGAAAACATCACCCCACACGCCATATTAAGTTTAAAGTGATAGATTTTGCTCCTATTAACAAATCAATTACGGCATTTAATCTTCCTTGAACCAATATGGAAAGATTTTTAAGACGGTTCAAATCTTGCTTACGCGTTAATAGCGCGAAACATATCGAGCGTTTATTTTCCCAAATTGGCCAAAATGACCAAAATTGCAATCTTTCAGCCCCCATAACTTTACAGAAAATGACCACAGGCAAAGTATCTTTTGAAATTTAAGCTTATGACAACAATAGCTTTCGAATGGTATAGAAAAATCCGCCGAAAACTGCTAGTTAAAAAGTCGAAACTTCTCTAAAAAAAATAACCCACCCCGAGCACAAATATTCCGTTACTTTCATTACGAAAGTCGGAACAAGAATAATAGTCGATGTTAAAATCCTTAGCATTGGCTGTACTTAATAGCTAGTATTGATCAAAATGAACACTTTCCAAATGAACACATTTTATCGCAACAATATTCGCGGTTGGAGAAAAAGATAGTTCATACTATAACACAATCTATGCTTGTGTAAACAAAGGTAACTATCAAGACCAATTTATTTTCACATGTACGCATAGATTACTCGACTTCACATTATGCAATGAGAAGAAAATTTTGTAGCAATAACTTTGCAAGACCAAACAAACAACTCTAAACTAGGTGGGGAAAATCGCAAATTTCGGGGCCACTCATCTACATTACGTAGCCTTTAGTTATAATATATCTTGCAGCTACTTTAAATTTGTTTTAAATCAAATCAACATTGCGCAAAGAACAACATACGAAGAGGTAGAGCACTTTGAAGAGTTTCTGGACTTCACACTGGCTGCTGGAGAAAACTTGAATCCCAGAATCGAAGACCTCTTTTTACCTCCCGAACCACCAAAGGGCAGTCTGATACTCTTCGGCGAATCCTTGAACTTTCCCGTGACTGAACTACCCGAATCCTGTCGTTCTGTAGGTGGAATTGCCTTAGCTAATTCGAATCCCTTAACAGGATTCACAAAATTTTTTCGCATTCTAGGCCAAGTCAGTTCCCGAATTGTCTGTTGCTTCTTCTGACTTCTCTTTCCGTCTGTCATCTCTTTTGTGCACATACCTGATGATACACAAGGATTGAGCCGGAGCCGAAATAGCACTTCGCAAAAAAAATTAAAGAGAAACTTTGAAACCTCTTCAGGCTCAGAAAGATAATTTCTGAGCCGGATCAATTCAATTCTAAACTATGATCCAGAGGCGAAGCAGAGCTTCGCACCACTAGCGATGCAAATATGAATGACTATGATTAAAATCAAACGGAAAAAAACTTCAAAAAATAGTGTTCTCAAAACAAAATTTGCAACAAAAGCCCAAAAACATTGCTGAATCATTAGAAAATAATTCTGTGGAATAATTCTGAAGTCTCAACTGGAATCGAACTCCCGGGCTTTGCCGTCTCAAGCATGGGGGTTACAGCAACATGGAAGAAGGCTGAACTTTGAATTAAATCGGGCTACGGGAACTAAGCCGACAAAAATAAGCATACGGACGATAGCCCGAAAAAAGCGCAAAAACTCTAGTTCAAAAAAGGTCCCGGCCGGATTCGAATCGCAATCCTCAAGCAGAAGGGTTGCCTCTACCTTAGATGCGCCGGATGGTTGATTGAATTTGAACTTATAATAAACAAGCGGTAACAAAGACGAAAATATCAGTATCTGAGCAGAAACTTTCACGCCGAAAAAAAATCGTAAACTATTTTAAAAATTTTATACCCTTTCACCTCTCAGAACACACGCAAGCACACAAAACTTTTTTCAATCTCCAAATGACGCAAGCAATAGGAGGCCACTATGTCGATATAAATTAAATGTCGACAAAAATTAAATGAAACCGATAAAAAAGACAATAAAAAAGAAGAAAAAATAAAACTTTCACTTACCGAGCTGGTAAAATTACAACCAGTGTAAGAAAAACAAATTTCGATTCTGACGGACTTTTCAAGTACTAAAACTCTTAAAGCAACTACATTGAAAATTGTTGGCAGCAAAAAAAAACGATTCTTAGATGTGGTAACTAAGCCGAAAAAACATAAGCAGACAAATGATAGGTCGAATTTTTTTGAACCGGAATATTTACCATTTGAAAAAACTTCTGGTCAGATTAGAACCCAGGACCATTGCCTCCCCAGGCGTAACCGTTACCTCTAGGCTAAGTGTGCAAGTGACACTAAGAAACTTCAAATCATTATGAACCACGGTACCACCAGGAGTCCAGATGATTCCTGTGAACAAGGTTATTTACGCGAAAAAAACGTAGTACCCGATTGCAATACCCTTGCTGTTCAACACAACCGGATTGAAACAATTTTTAAACGGCTATCAATTTTTGCCCTAAAAGCGACATAAAAAAACTAATTTTATTCCAATAAAACCAACCGAAACAATGCGAGACGAAATTAACGAGAATTAACTTTATTAATAAAGCAAGCTATCAAATGATTCAAGTGATTATGTTAAACTAGTTGCTAACCCGAAAAAAAAACTAAATTCTAGTGTGATAACGCTTGCTTGATAAATTATACCCAGATAAGACGACGCCTGTCAAAACAGGATCTAAAGGCTCCAAAAAAGTCTAAAAACTTACTCATTGCAAAGAAATATATGGATTTTTGAGTATACTGATCAAAACTTGCCACTTTAATCAGGAAATTGTATCCGTGTGTTTTAGCTTTTTCTACTTTTTGATTTCCATTAATCGGAAGGGGCCGAGTATTGTATGATATTAAAGCCCTCGCAGTAGCAATTTCGAAATTATTAAAACATTTCTGAAAAAACTTTGCAATGTAGAGAAAAACCGTGTATTTTTTATTTTTGGTCTAATTTCGAGCGAACTAAGCGAGCGATCGAGCAGTATCTTTATGCGCAAATAAGACCTAAAGACTTAATACTCACCAAGTAAACCTAACAAAAGACCCGCAAAAAAATTGAATTAACAAAAAAAAAAACTATTTTTTTTTGTTTTTTTTAAACAAACAAAAGTTTTTTTTTAAATTAATTTTTTGTTAAAATATATGTCAAATATGCGTTTTCTTCTTATAACGAATGTACTTACTCTTTACGCTTTCGTTCAGATCTGCTCATAGCCGAACGAACAAAAAACAAAGCTTTTTATGTGGTAGAAACTTTCGATGCTACTTTAACAGCAACCGGCTATCCTTGTTTAAGTAAACAGATAATTAAACTTGACAATGAACAAACACCGGCTCAAAAAAATCAGCGAGAACAATTTTACGAGCTTTCCTGAAAAAAATTTTTAAAAAAACAGAGATGAAGCGGAGTTTCATAACACTAGCGATACAACACATACATAGCATTGCACGCTAGTGGAGAGTACATGAGATGAAAGACTATGTCGGAGAACTATTAAAAAAATAGATAAAATTAGTGTCACCTTAGGTACCAATGGTTCGAAGAAAAAATAAATCGTGTTGCAGCTCTTTGGGTTTCAAGTACTTTCAAGGATTTGCACTTTTTCGTAAAATTATCCCATTTAGAGAAAACGGGATCAATAGTTACTTATTTGTTTCCTTTGAGATATCAAAAAATTAGGGTGGTTTTTGAAAGTAGAAGTTATTCCTGTTTTTCGTGACCCTTCCACTTTTGCTGTTCGATATTGGAGTTTGCCTTCATTTAACAAAGGAAACGAAGTGAACTTTGAAAGAAATTTTCAGACATCTCACTGAAATAAAAACAAGTAATCAATATCACCTCGTTCTTTTCCACTTAAAAATTCAATTACAGAAAAAGAATGGGGAAACACAACCACCAGCAGTAAATAAGCTTTTTGTATTTAGCAAGCGGCCACAAGACCGGTAATATGTGGGTAGAAACACAATGGCCGAAAACAAAAAATGCAATAAAAATTTGTTTTCATAAAAAACTTCGAGCGATAAGTTTTAAAACTGTGAACTTTTACATTGCAAATCAGGGTTAGTAAGCTGAAAAACAGGAGTAAATCGACAACACTTGCGACTAAAATGAAACTGCTCACAGCACAAGAAAATCGGCGATAAAACAGATAAAACCGGAGCAGCCAAACGAAATTCCGGCAATTCAAGTTTTCTTTTCAAATTCACACTTAGTACTTTATGACCTGAAAGAGCATGCTTCACCACTGGACCAAGTGAGAAGGGCCTGGAAGATATTGAGGTTTCATACTAAAGCACTTTCGCAATTATTTTTTCAGATTTTGCTGGCATTTTAATCTTCCATCATGGGAGAGTTTATAAGCTGAGGGACAAATGAAAAGTTGAAAATGTAATTATTGTACCTCTGTCTGAAGATGTATCAACGTGTGTCGAACGTTCCGTTGTCTGTACAGGTTCAGATGCCACATGCTTGTGAGAAACTGACACTCGTTTTGCGTTCGTGTTATTCGGAAGTTTGAACGTTTGAGTGATTTCTTCCGTCATCATAGATTCGGCCGGGTTTATTGAGTTCTCCTCGTATCCCGAGGAAAAATAAGAATCCAGATCTTCAATCACTTGCATCTCTAAACAGGTCAACGCTCAATTCAAAAACTATGAATGATATTCATGAATGGGAGAATGAAAGCTTTGCTTAATTTCAAAACAGTTGATAAGAAAAGTCACTAATTTGTGCGTAAGGTACATAATAATCCAACCATCTCCACTGTGCGAAAACATTTCTGAGATTTTGAGACAAAAATTTTGAACGATTGACTTAAATTCAAAATCATCCAAATTTTGCTCCTAAAAACGAGTCAATAAGCAAAACTTCCAAACCGCTGTTTCTCGATACTGGATAAAGCTTATGGAACTTTTTTCATGCTCAAAAGAACAAAGAATTCTTTTTGCCCATTTAAAAATTCCGTTGAAAAAATGACATCTTTCAGTTGACGCATTTTTCCGCCTTAAAACCAACTGAAAATCATGGAAAGAGAAATTTAGTTTAAAGGTCACTTTATTTGAGAACAGTGACGATCATCACAGAGCAACCAGCTGAGACTTTCAGTTAATTACCGAAAAGACAATCATTTGTCGGAGGTTGAGCAATTTGCTCAGAATCTTCCAACGAGTGATTGAAGTGCAGATCACATATAAAACATTTTTTTTTTAAATTTTTTCAAAAACGGTATTTTTTCTTTGTTTTCAGTTATTTTTGTTTAGATGTCTGAAATTAAACAGCAGCAATACAAGAGGTTGCACCGAGGTGAAGCAGAGCTTCGCACCACCGGCATTGCAACAAAATTACATAAAAAAAAAACAAATCGAAAACAAATTTAAAATGTAACCAAAACGTGTCAAAACAAATTTTAAAGTGTGAACGAAAAATGTGAACCAGGGTAACTCAAAATTTTCGTTTGTCTCGATGAAAGACAACTAAATGCCCAACTAAAGCTGGAGGTACGTATTTGATATTTTTTGAATTTGTTATACTGATGCGGGACAAAATGCGTAGTTTCAAAAATTTGAAGATTCCCAATTGAAGATTCGCAAATCTGGGTTTCCAAAACGGTCAAAAATTCAAAAGTATGACTTGTTTGCAGGCCAAGATTTTTTGGTGAAAGAATACGACCGAAGCTAAATATAAAGGTATGCTGTCAACAACCTGCTGTTTCGGTTACACCCAAAAAATTCAAAAAACAACCATACATCAAAATTTGCACTTTTCCTAGAATCATAAAATTATGTGGCTAAAAAATTTGGTCGTTGTACCGCATTTAAAGAAGCTTCCCGACACTCGTTCTTTGGACTGAACCCAAAATCTCGAACATGGAACTCAAAAAGGTTTTAAAAATGGCTAAAAAATCAAAAAAAAAAATACTATTCCGAGGGCCATAAATAGTAATTTGGGTGTATAAATAAATTTGGGCTTAGCCGTTTATGCAGGAGAGCTCGCCAAATCCATTCCATTCATTAAAACAAAAATCTCCGATTTTGGAGAGAAGTTTTTGAGAAAACGAAAAAAATATCAAATATATGGGTCAAATAATTTCCCCCACAGACATTTTCGAAGGCTCTAGACAAGGAGCTTAAGAAAAAAGAAACTAGGGGAGTATGGACGCACACAGAGAGCAGGCTGTCTTTCCATTGATATCTCTTTTTTTGAAAATCTTTAAAACATTTTTCGAGAAAAACTATAATTTTTGCAAACAAAAAAGATATTTTCCAGACCCTTCTAAAAAATTAAAATAAAACCCAATACCATACATTTCAAAACCTGTTTGTTATCAAACAGGAATTTAAGGCAAACAAGCCAAGCTAAATCGCCACTTACGCTACGCGTTAAACACTGAAGAATTGCAGGTATTACTTGAAACAATTTTCAAAACCCTGAACTCCTTAAAACGATCACAGATGAAAACAAGAATATCAGTATCTTTTAAACGGTACCAAACCAATAATCTGTATAAATATCCGGAGTCTATCAAAACTTGAGTGCTGGATTTAACGCATATACTGTCACATGACTGCTAAATTCAGGGCAAAGCCGTAAATAATCCGACTGCTCTTTAACTGGCCTTGAAAAGTTTTAAGCAATTTAAAAAAAAAAAAAACTGGAAAAAATTGAAAGATAGAGCTTTGTTTTTTTTCGGATCAACCATACATACTCCACCCCACACCCTAAGTGACCTACCGTAGAATCTCCCCCTTAGCCACGTATTTATTGTGAAACCATTTCAAACAAAAGCGCAGAATAAGTGCTTGAGAAAACTTTTCAGAAGGAAACCTATTTTATACTGTTAATTAACCAAAATTTTATTGTAGTTCTATTTGAATTAATTTTTTGGTTAATTAGATCAATTTGGTTTGCCCTCAAAGTTCCCACCTTTATTGATTAGGGGGGAAATTGTACCGCTGATCCGTTTTTCCTCTCTCAAGAGACAGTATTTAAAAGTAATTATTACAATCCTAGACAAAAAGAGAACTAACATTACAATTAGCTTGCCTCAGTTCACTTGGGAAAGGTTTTTGAGGGATAATTCACCACGTGTAAGCAATACGTGGTTGTGCTTTGAGCATCATAGACTAATTTAAGTGCGCTTTTAAGAATTTGTCCCATGACAAAATTTGCAATTTTTAAACGCCCAGCTGTTCAACAATAATGATCAGAGAAAAATTATTTTCTTGCTTTTGAACTCAGAGAATCAAACCCAGAGAATCACTTTTAGCAAAAAAATCATTTGCATATAAAAAAAAACGAGGTGTCAAAGATGCAAAGGTGACAGCGTTACCTCTCGGCCAAAAGCGACGGAACCTGGAAGTTGTAATGATTCATTAAGCACGTTGAAAATTTTTTTACGGGAAAACTCTTGTTCCCGATTAAAAGACACTTGCTTTCGCAAGTGCTATAATAGCTTATATAATATTGATATTTTACAAGAATAATTAGGAGGCTAGCATTTCATCGTGTCACTAGAAACTGAGACGTATTTACCTCGACACTGAGGCATATTTTTTTGGTTTTTTAAAAACCACATCAAAAACAAAAGGACTTTAATATGAGAACACTCTTGGACTTCTTTGAACATCCTTTGAGGCTTTCGATTCGAAAAAAACCAACATATTTTTTTGCTTGCAACCTTTTTAAATGCAACACAGACGCGAAATTGCACTGTGCATACAAAACAGTCAATTGAAAGAAAAACAATCGAAACACATTAAGAGGACCAAATAGCTTCTCTCGATTCAACTATATATTAATTCTGAGCCGGATTGAATCGCCACTTACGCTACGCGTTAAAAACTGAAGAATAGCAGGTATTACTTAAGCCAAAGTCGACAAACTGGCATTTTTCAAAACCCTGAACTCTCCAAAAATGATCACAGATGAAAACTACTTTTTAGTTTTGGGTTCAAGAATATCAGTCTATTATAAATGGTATCAAACCAATAATCTGTAATAATATCCGCAGTCTAACGAAACTTGAGAGCTGGATTTAAGGCATATACTGTCACAAGACTGCGCGATTCAGGGCAAAGCCCTAAATAATCCGACTGCTCTTTAACTGGTCTCGAAAAATTTTTAGCAATTTTTTCTAAAAACTGGGATAAAATGAAAACTTGAGCTTTGTTTTGTACTCTCTCAAGAGTCATTATTTAAATATATATGTTAGTTTTGTGTTCAAGAATATCAGTATCTTTAAAATGGTATCAAACCAATAATCTGTATTAATATCCGGAGTCTATCAAAACTTGAGAGCAAGATTTAACGCATATATTTTCACAAGACTGCTCAATTCAGGCCAAAGCCGTAAATAATCTGATTGCTCTTAAACTGGCCTCGAAAAGTTTTAAGCAATTTTTTTTAAACTGGAAAAATTTGAAGGCTTGGGTTTTTTTTCAGATCAACCGTACAACCTCCCCTCACCCCCTAAGTGACCTACCGTAGAATCTGCCCATTAGCCACGTATTATTTTTGAAAACACTTCAAATAAAAGCGCAGAATAGACTGCTTGAGAAAACCTTTCAAAAGGAAAACCTATTTTATACTGCTAATTAACCAAAATTTTCTTCTAGTTATATTTGAATTAATTTTTTGGTTAATTAGATCAATTTAGTTTGCCCTCAAAGTTGATATATGAAAAACCAGTATTTTATCCCCTCCCCCTTATCGATTTGGGGCAAAATTGTACGGCTGATCCGTTTTTTCCTCTCTCAAGAGACAATATTTCAAAGTAATTATTACAATTTCTAGACGAAAAGAGAACTAACATTACCAATTAGCTTGCCTCAGTTCAATTTGGAAAGCTTTTTGTGGGATAAGTCAGCACACGTAAACAATACGTGGTTGTGCTTTGAGCATCTTAGACTAATTTAAGTGCGCTTTTAAGAATTTGTCCAAACGACCAAATTTGCAACTTTCAAACGCCCAGATTTTCACCAATAATGATCAGAGAAAAATTATTTTCTTGCTTTTGAACTCTTCATCCGTTTTTTAAATTTTTTTGTTTATTATGCTTATTTCGAACGCCAAAATTGATCTGAAAACATCAATCATTAATACTCCGTTCAGGGGTATCAAAATCTGAATAGGGTTAAGGGGTATAAAATTGCATATTGTTTTTCCGAAAGACAAATCAGTTGAATAACTTCCAATGAACTCAAATACAACCGAACTAAACAAATTATATTTTCGATCTTCGAGGAAGAAATATGTCATGATGAAATTCTCTAAATTTCAAGAATATTTCATGAATTTTTTTTTCGAATTAGTCCAGTTAGAAAAAATTGGATCAGTATGTAATTTTCTTTTTATTCTCCTAAAAAATTAGCATCCGCTTTCAAAGCTATCACGTTTTTCGACCAATTCCGCTCGCTTTTTTCATTGGAGAGCATGGTTTGTCTTCGTTTTAGCAAATGAAATTAAATAGAAATGAAAAAAAAAAAATCAAATTCAACCGCCAAAAGTCATACTTGAGCATGATGAAGTTTAAAGATTTTTTCCTGAAAAGAAAAATAAATAAATCATCACGACCTATAAAAGCGTCTTCACTACGTTCATTGACACTTAACAATTGAAACTTATTTTCTCAGAGAAAAATCTGGAATAAATGAAGTGAAAAGAACAACTTTAATGAAAAATTGACACCTCTGCAAAACTGAGTTGCCAAGTAAAACAACAATAAATTCAGTAACGTTTAAGTAAACGCTTGAATGGCATTAATAATCCTGCGGTTAAGCCCGCTGCTGATTTATTTGAAAAATAATTGGTCAAAAATTGCTTTTCCATTTGCCTAACAATGTATATAATGCATTTTTTTACAATAGTGGAAATTCAAATGTTTGAGGGGGGAAGGGGGTATTAGGATAAAAATGAATAATATCAAGAGATTTATTGACAAGATAATTAGATACACTTTTTGATCACAACCCTGATTCCGTCACTTTCTTCAAACACACCAAATTACCACGTTTTTGAAGAACCTAACCTACCAAGATCAATTGTTATTATATAAGGTATAGTTTATGCTGATAATTAAATAAACCTTTAGTACCCTTTTGAGACTTAAAATGAAGAGCGAGTATTTTAACTCAGAGGTCAATTTTAGCTTCAAAACGAAAATCAGTTTTCAACGCGAGGTTTAAGATAAACAGAAGTCACATCGCCAAAAGAAAAAAAGTGTTCCAATTTTTAACACATTGCATTGCCTTAATGCTTGTCAATTTCGCAACACTCCTATCAAAAACTTGGTTAGTAAAAAAGTAAACATTTGCTCCCTTTAGAAAATGAAGCTTAAAAAACTGGAAAGCCAATTAGCCAGAATAAAAAATAGACGTGAACAAATGACTTTTTCCTGAAAAAAAATCAATAAACACTTACCATTACAAAAACTATTCTAAGCGTACTTTCAAATGCAGAGCTGACAAAATAATCTTAAAATTGTAAAATTGAATTTTTTAATTTTTACCTGTCAAATGCGTGTTGTTCTGTTCATCCGTTTCTAACAATGCATCCTCGAATAAACGGTCCGAATTCTCCTCGCTCACAGTCCCATGAGTAAATGGCTCCTCGAGGTCCATCACAACCTCGTCAACTCCTCTGAGATTCTCCGATCGACGCTTCGAGAACCAGTCTAATTCTGTGCGGTTCCTCGGAAGAGTGCGATTTCTTCGGCTCTCGGTGGCAAAACTCGGCGAACTCATGAACGGATTTGCCGCGTTTGTCATCCAATTCAGATCTATTGAGGGTGAATATGATCTATGCCGACGACGATGGAGCTCTGAGAGTCCTGCTGCTGCACTGGCCCGACGTCGAGTTAAGTTGTCGTTCGAATTCCTGACAAGAGGAGAACGTAGCGTCGAATTTCTAGTGAACGGAGAACTTTCAATATAATTTGCTTGAGGTTCAAAGCAACTACTTGTACGTAAGGTGTTCAGCTGTCTTAAAATTGCGCTTTCTTCTGTTTGAGTACACTTATCAGTTTTAATTATTTCACATTTAGCCGAAAACAAAAAATGAATCGACTTCACACGCCTAGATATTTTGGACCGCATTTCAGGTAACGAAGTAACAGGCACGTGATCTATAACTCGAAGCTTCATTTTGGGCTTGAGTACAGATTTGAAATTAGAATCTGCTTTCACTTCGATTACAGTTAGATGTCCTGTAATATCCGAAAACATAACTCCGAAATTGCTCCAGTCGAAAAGAGAACGTAGGTGAAATCTAACGTCGACATCCAAAGTATATTCGTTGGCAGCTGAAGATACGTTTTTATGGAATTCAATTTTAGGCCAAGAAATCAAACTGCTTCGCATTTCTTCATTTTCCAGTCTCAGTTTCTCAATTTGCAAAAGAAGGTTGCAGTTTTCAGAACGATAGGTTGACAAGGAATTTTTGATGAAGTCGATTTCACTCGAGTTCTAAAATAGCATGATCACAATAGTTCAACAAATAATTGCATCTTCAAATTCATTAGCGATAAAAACAGGCCAGTCACTCTTCAATTAGCACAAAGTTCCGAGAAGTCATTGCAAACAATAATTTGTTGATTTTCTTTCAAATAAATGTCGAACAAAACTAATCGATTGCTGTTCAGAAAAACATAGCCGACAAACATTGAAAAGAGTCAAAGAGAGCAAGTAAACGGAAAAAAAACTGTCGTCTTTTCAAAATATCTAAATTTTCGAAATTCAAAGAAAACTATTTTTCAAAGCTCTTTGAAATTCTTGAACAATTTTTGATTGACACTTTTTTTTTATCGAACCGACCCATTTTGAGAAAGCTAGATATAAATGGTTAACTTTTTTTCCGCTGAAAAATTCGATAACTGAATTCCACTTTCGAAACTAGAAGTCGATAACGTTTTTCGTGACCTTTCCACTTTCACTGTTCGATAGGGGTTTCAACGGAAATGAACTGAACTGGAAAAAAAATCAAGATTCAAACTGCAAAAAAGTAACCTTGAGTCGCAACAAACTTAACGTTTTCTGCCAAAAAAAATATACTACTACTACTAATGCGTTTGCTGTCCATTTTTTGATTGTGGTGGGCTTGGACATCCGAAAAGTGCCTAAGCAATGATATATCTGGATTGCTATTTCATGGAAGATACGTTTTTCCATGCCATTAAACCGAGGCAGTTTGTGGGTTTGAGGCTTAAAGTATTCAGGTCGCGTTTAATACAGTCGATCAAGCGTTTTTTTTAATACAGTCAGTCAAGCGTTTTTTAGGTCTTCCTGCTGGTTTCTACCTGAAACTGAAACACGGTCTCATGATGTAAGCGCATGGTCATTTTCTCTTTGGTAAACATGATCAAAACATCGTAGCCATGACCGCACTTAAAGCTTAACCAGATCAACAAGACTGTCATTTTAATTACTGCTTCGTAAGTAACTGTCTTTATAAGAGACTCAAGTCATCCTACGCAGAGCTTCCATGTCAGCACTCTCAACAGAGCTGGATATTGCTTTGGTCGGCGCCCAGGCTTCAGAGCAGTACATCAGAACTGGCCGGAGAAAAACTCCGTAGATATCACCACTTCTAATCAAGTCAATATCTTTTTTCAGCATCAGAGGTGAAATTTACCGCCAACTCGTACAGAGCTGGCACTCAGACCAATGCTTTCACCGAAAACCCGGTAACAGACCTCTTTGACAAAACCTAGGGCTTCAGATTGACTTAACCGTAGAGTAGCAAGCTGATTTGAGCGATAATTGGAAGCATTATTGCATCTTGGACGGACATAATAAGTACTATCTTTAGAATTTTTCTTAGACCACTGCATTTTTATCCACCGATTGATTACAAGAAATTCAATGTATTGAATTGGCGCCGACTCCCTTTAAACAACAAGCGCAGGGATATTTTTCGGTTTTTTAGGAATACACTTTTGGCCTGAAATCAAATGCTCTGTCTCATCCAATTTGACTTCTAAACCGCGTATTCTAACCTGTACATAGAATATCCATTGGTACCGTGGAACGACAGTTTCTCGCAACCTCTTCCAATACTAATATAAATAGCAATGAGCTAAGCGCCGATCGTTGTTGCGCGCCTACTTTAATTTTAAAACAATCACTGCAGCCTTGGGGCCGGTGAACTCTGGGTTTCGACTCAGTTTACATACACATTATTCGTTGTACCACATTTACGGGAAATCTGTTGCATCAGAGCCCAAGTGAGCAGTTCCCTGGGAACACGGTCCAAGGCTTTTTTGAGATCAACAAATACCTGGAAACCAGTTTTTCTTTTCCAGAAATAGTTCCCTCAATCTTCTAATAAGAAAAACGGCATCGGTAGTTGATCTACCACCTATAAAGCCAAATTGCATGTCAACTATTTAAATCAATTGTCTCAAACATTATTCCAGTACTTTTCAAAAATTTCAGATGCGTGTTTCAGTAATCAGGTGCCTCTCTAGAGTCCACACTCAAACGGATCGCTTTTTCCTTTGTATAAAGCAAGATTTTCACTTTCGCTCCAGTCGGAGGACATAAGACCGGAGTCCACCACTTCCTAAAGGACTGTGAAAGTCCAGCAAGTCCACAATGCCTGGCAAACTTTATCATGTCCGAATTTAGCCCTGTTGGTAATGGGCTTTTCTTATTTTTCATCACTCTCAGTGCAAGTGCCTATTCCTGGATAATAAATCCCTCCAATGGGCCTGCAACTGGGGAGATATCATAAGCTTCAAATGGAATTGCTTCATTTAAAAGATTTGAGAAGTAGTTTCGCCACTGCGAAAAAAAAATCTTGGTCACAAGTCAGGAGTTCTCCTTCAAAATTAGTGAATTTTGCTCAAACTGCATCCTTTTGATGACTTTTCATTTGCTTGGTAAAGCGGAACATTTAATGTCATGTCTACGTACCACAATATTCGTCTCTGACAACATTCAAAAATTTGAAGATCGCGTTAGCAAAAAATCTATTTGGGTGGAATTTTCGCCACTCTGAAACGTACAAAAAACAAGAAAAAATCACGACCCATTTAAGCGCCCTGGCACTATACGGACCAAAAAAATTTAAGCCGATTAGTCCCTATATCATTCTACCTTTAAAGCATGTTTACTCAAAATTTATGTTTTTACAATTTAAAACATTTAATCTTAGTACAAGAGAGACACTGTCCGCTCTTCGGTCAAACAGTCTGAAAAACCAAAACATTCTGACCAGTTTCTCTCAACGTTGTAAAAACTTCTTATCTTGAATCCGAATAACGGAGCGTATTTGAAGGTTTATAATTAGTTATTATAGTTAGGGCTATAGAGATACCGCATAAAACGACACAAAACTGAAAGAAAAAATAATTAGTCCACGAAAACATAGCTATCAAACATTTGGATAAATATACTAGCTACAGACATATTACACGGATAAATGAATGGGTGGCTGGATGTATGGATGGCAGGATGGATGAAGGCTGAATGGATTTATGGCTGGATGGATGGCTTAATAGACAGATGAGTGAGAGAGGAAAAATAAATAGCTAGATGGAACGATGAATGACTTGATGGATGGACGACTGGTTGGTTATCTGACTGGATGGATTGCCAGATGAAGGGATAGCTGGTTGATGGCGGGATGGATAGCTGATTGGATTAATGAATGACAGGATATATGGCTGGTTGCTGGCTGCTTTGTTGAATGGATGGCTTAAAATATTGAAAGGCATGATGGATGGATGGGTTGCTGGATGATTGCACTGGGGGATAGAAGGCCTGCTGGATGGATAGATTCCTGAACGGATGGATTGATGTATGAACACCTTAAAGGATCAATGACTGGATGGATCGATGGCTTGATAGCTTAATGCATGAGGGCATAAAAGAATGAACGGATGGCTAGATGGAGGACCCAATGTATGGATAGAAGGCTTGATAAATTGCTGAGAAGATGGATGGATTGACTTAATGAATAATTAAATGGCCGATGGATGGATGGCTCAAAAAATGGTCCGCATTATAAAAAACTGTCTGGTTGGATGAATGGCTGGTTGTGTGGATCGCTTTATGGACATTTGAATGGATGGCCCGTGATATAGTTGTATGTATCGTTGGATGAATGGTGGGATATATGGATGCTTGGATTGACGGATGGATGAAGCGCTATATGGATGGATGTTTTGTTGGGGAAGATCGATGAAAGAATGAATGGATGACTGAATGGATCCACGATTGGCTGGTTTGATCTTTGAGGACTTGAACGATCTGAGCACTCACGTTTAGACGTCTGCAACCCTTGAGTTAAAAACTAAAATCACACCCGTAGCGTCAAAATTTGAATTACTTTTTTTTGAAATTAAATTTTTCAAAGGTTTTAAAACACCATCTTCAAAAAACGTTGAGCTGTCGAAATTAAAAGCCAAGTAGTTAGAATTTCTAAGATAACTTTGACAGCGTCCTAACAAGGATTTGAGAATTTCAAACTCAGTGAATTATTTTAAAATAAATCATGAAAAACGGATTTTATAAATCTCAGTTTTGCGACCCGCGGGACAATCCTGACGGCTCCTCACTGTAGGGTTGATTATTTTAAATTAGCGAGTTGATAATTGAAACGACAAGAGCCCGTTATATTAGGTATTGATGGATGAATCCAACTATTACTCTACACTACACTGGGCTGCTGTCCTCCTCCCTGTCAGTAATGTGATTCATTAAAAGAAAAATGAGGGCACTGTTTTGGCAAAGCGCAACAGCACCGTATTTGGAAACCCCCACGAGGAATCATTACATGATCTTATGAAAAATACACCAAATAGATACCATTTTAAATAAATGCACCACTACATTATGCCAAGTGGATTTTCTTTAAGCCGTAGAACAAAAACCGAATTCACAGTTTTCAAAGTCAGTTGCTTTGAAGAAAAAGAAAAGCAGAATCAGAGCAAGAAAATAACGAACCAAAAGAAAGTAAATAAATTAAAAGTTATCATATGGCGACAGAGACGGTGGCGTTTTCTAGCAGATATCTAACTTATCTCGAAAACTTTTGATAGAACAGATTGAAACTCATGAATAGCTCTCGAAAAACTTCGTGAAAAGCGTTCAACCAAAAAAACAATTCCATGGAACTTTCTGTTGCGTTACTGCAATCCCTTATCTTGTTACGATGATAATTTCTTTGGTTTATAATTTTTATCAATTTGAAGATATTAAGTTGAAATAGTCATTAGCTCAAGCATTATAAATTTCAAAACTCGCAACAAAATCTAAATTGAATTATCAAATGACATCGAAATTGATAACATTCCCCTCTTGCAAACGTTTCGAAAATTAACTGCTTTATCTTCAACAACAAGTTATGCGAAAAACTTTTTTCTATTTCACTCTTGCTAGAAACTATTGTATGGCCGCACCAACTCGTTGAAGTTCGAAGGATTATTACAAGCCAGTACTTCTTTTGCCCACAAACCAGAGCG